AGCCCCTGTGGCTCTGCGATTCTGTGAAGTTCAGAACTGCAGTCCTCGATTGCCGTGCCCACAGAGGCCTCGCTCAGCATTTGGCTGCAGCCAGCCGGGCAGCAGGCAGGGAGCTGGGTGAGCACATGCTGCCCTCTGCAGTCTCTCTCCTCTCTGCTCCGCAGCCCCAGCATGCATGCGGTTTGACGGCTTTCTTTTCCAAGCCCATTTTTCAATCTCCCTTTCCACCCACAGGACAGGCTGAAGAGACGGTTATAGTGTGATAATGTCAGTATTGAAATAGGGAGAAGAGGGAAGTCCTGGGAAACCGGTGCTCTTAGAAGATGCCAAAAATACACATCAATCAATACCAATACATAAATCTCTAGACTATAAATAAACACAAAATTTCACTAGCGTCTTCAGTGTTTGCACTGGCTATTTTTCTGCATCAGCTCAAGCAGCAATTGGTATTGAAAATCAGAATAAAGAGTGGATTCAGAGCAGCTCTCATCCCCCTGTGCTCCTGCCTTGCAAGTGCTCACTTCTACACCTTTCCTCAGGGGAGACAGCCACAAAGCAGCACACGGGGCGAGGGCGATGCTCTGCTGCTGCAGGGGAGCTGTATTTAAAGCACAGTGCCTGTTTGCATTTGACAGGAAAATCCTCAACTATTAAATGCTAGCAACGTCTTTTGGGAGATTTCTATTGATATCTTCAGTAAATGACTTAGGAAAATAAATTCTTTAGGGGTTAGAATGATACTGGAGGCTCTTTTCATTATGTCTTTCTCAGGAACCATGAAGCATATGAGAATAATGTGAGGTTGCTCGAAACCCAACTGTGGAGCCAAAGGTATCCTCCAAACCAGAAATCCATAATTTCCAATTTTAAAATTGTGCGCAAGGCACTAACAAGGTTGTAATCCCTTAGCTGATTAGTACCTGTATATAAACATTCAAATCTTGATTTTGTCTCTGATTACTTTAGCAGGTAAAAGAAAAAAGAAGAAAAGGGGGTCAGTTTCAGCTCCCTAGAGATCTGGGATAAGTTCTCACTGTGAAATAACTTGCATGACAGTTATCATAATCCAAGCATAGCAGAATTCTAAGTCTTGGTCTTGAATGACATCATGTAGTAGGTTATAGTGGGTGCTTCTACTGGTTTGGGAACCTGGCTAAGGAATTTGCAGAGCCTTCTGTGATCCTTCAGAAGCAGAAAGTTTGCAGACTCCAGCCACTTACCTGAGGATAACTTTGAGATTCTTCATTCTGACAACTTCAAGCTATAGTGTTACCAGGATTTTAGCATTAGCTTGATTTCTTGTTTTCTGCAGAGATTTTTTTTATACCAGGCCTTTGAAATGTTAGGGGGAAAACAGAAAAAAAAAACAGTTGAGCTAGAAAAAGATTCATTAGAATGTGTAGTTCATTGTATTGATATGCTGTTTAGCACCTTATCTTTCCAATTCTTTGAACGTCAAAATACACTTATAAATAGAGCATGTCTTTTTGTATCTGTAGTATTATTCTCAAGACATGATTTTCTTTTAATTGTGATTTCGTGGGGTCAGGATATCTGTACAGAACCTTGTAGTGATTTACCCAGTGAGAAAAAGATTTTCATGTACGATTACCTCCTCTTTATTTGTGCATTTATGAATCCTTTTTTCAGAAATTCTTATGTAGCTGCTAATGCTGCTCAAATTGCCATGGTTTTTAAAGAGAATAATGCTTATTGATAGTTCCCACATGCACTGGCAGGCACATCTAAAACCTGTACTTTTGTGTTCACAGCTTGCATAATGTAAAACGTAGAGATTGCTTGTCAAACTAAGTGTCAGCTGAGTTTCCTAGGAAACTCACTGAAGATATTTATAAAACTACAGATCAGCTTAATAATAGATATAATAATGTCAGTAGCTCGTGATTGTTGTTTTTTTAACTTTATCTGTCCATTTTTCTTTTGCGTTAATTTGTTAGCGTACCAAGTGGCTATATTTCCAAACAGACCTTCCTTTCAGTGTCTTCCTTCCAGTTTATTTAATTAAAAAAAAAAGTGATCTGGGCCATTCCACATCAGGTAATACAGACCAACCTACAGCAAAATTAAGGAGAACGTTGATGTCCTACTCATTATCAGAACAACAAAATAAAACCAGAACTGAGAAGTAGAAATACAAATATTGTGTTATAGTTGTATTCACACTTGAGTTGGATGCCTGAGTTTAAAGTTCATTGCATTTACATGCAAAAAAGTTATTGCAGAATTATCATCAGTATTGAGTGCAGTTTTCTATAGAAGATGCATAAGTAGAAGACCTGTCAGTACTGAGATAAGATGTAGTTCTGTCAAAATAATTCTATCCTTCAGCTGACAAAGACATGAGTTAAAAAGAGAGGATTGGTGATGCTGATGTCCATTTTTATTCCTTTCTCTGCTGTTCTGTTTTCCTCACACTGATCCTTTGAGCCGAGATTTAGGAATTATCATATCTTAAGCACTGTAAATTTGCTTGGGTATGCAACATCTGAGGCTGCATATATGTAGAAGTGCATATTACACCAGACCATAATTATGAAAGGCATTTAATATTAGTAGAAATTAATGTTATTTAGAAAAAGAAAAGTCATTGTTTTCACATTTTAATACAGCTGCAAGACTGACGCTAATGTGTTTAGAAGTACTGACTCTTATCTCATCTGGAATCCATTACTTGTACTTGCTACAGAAATTTGCCTGTCAGAGCTATTTTTTGATTCTGTGCTAATTAGCCAAGTAAGGAGCTTCTATGAAGGATGTTCAAGAATTGATTTCCCTTCAAGGAAGTCCAGAGTCTACAAAACTCAGTGCGCATTCATTTTATTTCCAAAAGAAATCCTAGGAAACCATCACACACCAGAAAAGTTAATGTTAGGTAAAGCTGAGAAATTTAGCCCAGTCCTAATAGAGGTCAAATGTTGCTTTATTGGATGCCAGTGGTATCACTGCAGCCTGATAGAGTGGTTAGCGTTTAGAACCTTGTAAATCACTGCCTTCATTTCAGTATAGATGACATGTGGCCAGCGGCCTTAGAAGCGTAAAAACGTTACAGCTATCCAAACTGATCTTTATTAAGCACTTTGTTGAACAGAGCTGTCTCTTACCTGTGGCATTCCCATTAAGGATGTTTGAAACATATTCTTTTATTTGGAACATGACTTAGGCCAATATCAAGAACATAACTGCCAATGCTGACAGCCAATAACCGTCCTAAAATGCATGTGTACAGGGGAGAGGTGTGCATCGATGCTAACTACTGAGTTACTTAATCATGTTGGATCAATGCTACCAACATGACGTTGGTGTGTTTTGAAGAGTCAAGATGTGATTTATATATCACCTCCAGCAGTAATGCTTCTGCAACAAAAGTACTGATTTGTTTAGTCTAGTGGGATTTGGGATAGGGTCATGTTTGTGTACAAACACTTGCCTTTGCCCACAGTATTAACCATATCAAACTGTTTATAAACTAGACAGAAAATGTCGGGACATATTTGGAGAAACTAAAATGCTGCCCATACAGCTTTGCTAAGGACAGTGAGTACTTGTTGAGGAGGTTCAGCTTGGAAGCATTTTTAATGGGGGTAGGATTGCCATTTTTTTCATCTTACTGTGTGCTGCAAGCTTGAGATTTGCTTGGTGTTCTCAAGGAAAAAACATTTGAGCAGGTTTTGCCTGAGTGCAGCTGCTTCATCGTGGTGACCACAGCTTGCTATAAAGATGTACTTTTATATCTTCACATAAATTTATGGTTGCTTTTGATGGGTGAGGAGTAAAAAGTATGAAGTGAAAAGATGATTTTTCTGTCATGTTTATTCAGGATAATTTTGTCATTAGGCACCCCCTATGTTGTGCTAAACAAGAGTTTTTAAACCTGGTGTTTTAACATCACACCTTGATAATGCAGGCTGTACATACTGGATTTTTTTTTTCCTGTTGTAACAGTGGAGGTTCAGAAAGGAAAAAGAGTATAAGTAAATGTATATGCGGCATATTTTCTTTTCCTTTCAGTTAATATCCGTGGGAAAGTACTATGAGAAATACAGTCAGGCTTTTAGAGAGGTGTTTTCAACTGGTCTCTGTGTGTGACCCCGGTGTTAGCAGTGAGTCACATTGCCAGGCAAGAGTTCACTGTTCTCTCCTTCTTTCCCACTGCAATTAAATAAATTCCACATGCACACCCTAGTAAAATCAGGGGAAAAAAACCTTGCCAGTTGATAAAGAAATTGTGATAATACTGTAGAAGGATGAGTCAGTCAGTGGGATATTCACTGCCAAATACCAAATAACAATGCAGAAATTCAAGAGAGGTTTTAAGTCATGCAGGCAGTAAGGGAAAATGAGCCATCTGGGCTCACACAGAATGTAAGAAATGGGTGAAAGTGAGGGAGGAGAACCTGCCTATTTTAGCTCTGCATATAAAATCCCATTTTTATATCCTCGTTATTGCTATTCTAACATATTGTAGAAAAGAATTAAAGTTTGAAGATCTTTAAAATCATTGGAGAATGTGGTATCCCTCTTTTTTAGTTCCTCTCATTTTGCATTTTACTGAGTTTTGGCATTGTAAGGATTCAAGACTTGTTAACCTCCACATGCAGTTAATCATGCAGTTTTTTTTCAAGTTCTTAAGCTGTAGTTGCAGTGTTCAATCAGGTCAGATTCAGGAAACATCTGATCTGAACAGGCATTTTTTAAGTGGACCTCCCAAATTGTAATATTGTACTGCATTGGGTCTGTCTGTGAGTACTACCTAACAGTAAGTGTAACAGCACTATACTGAGGCAGAGCCTGGGTAAAAAGCTGTTTGGCTCAGAAATTAGAACTGCAAGCAACATAAGTAAAGCTCTGGGCTCATACATTCACCATTCCACTCGTGTACTACTTTGCAGCTGAAATCTAAACCAGAAAAGGTACTGAAAATGTGCAGTACGAGACAGGATTTTACGTATCTAAATGCATGTTTATTTTTCTTCCAGCTTTTTAGAAAGAATCGACAGCGTCAGCATGGATGACTACACACCCACAGATCAGGTTAGTGTAATTAATGTGATAGGGGCTGAACCAAGACACCCATTTGTACAGATTCTTTATGTAATTTGGTTTAGTCCCAACAGCAGCTGAAATGCAGCAAACCACATAATTACAAAATGCAGTCTAGCTGTTTAAGTAATGGATGTTAAAGAAGAAGAAGCTTTTCAATGTTGTAAGCTTGTGTTTTATTGTTGCTATATGTAGGTCGTGATTCCTGTAATACTTCTGTTATTTCTTCTTGCTTCACGTTCTGCATGAGCCTTGCAGTGTGCCCTTGCAGCTCGGAAAGCAAATGGTATCCTGGGCTCCATCAGAAGAGGGGTGGCCAGCAGGGACAGGGAGGTGATTGTCCCCCTCTGCTCTGCTCTTGTGAGGCCCCATGTGGAGTTCTGCGTCCAGGTCTGGAGCCCCCAGTACAAAAAAGACAGAGAGCTGTTGGAGAGAGTCCAGAGGAGAGCAACAAAGATGATCAGGGGACTGGAGCACCTTCCCTGTTACTGCTCTGTGCCAGTGTCCCACTGCTATCCAGTAGTCTCAGTCAAGATTGTGACCCACGTGATAAACTGCAAATACACATAGTAAAGGAGAACTCTACCCTGGATAATTCAGTCTGTCTACTCAGGATGTATAAGGAGAGGGAGCTCATTAAAAAAAACAGTAATGATCATCATTTCTCATTGTGTAGTCAGGCTGAAATTCAGAAAATAAAGTGACTTGCCAGAGATCAGACAGGGAGGCATGCGGGGCAGAACTTCTACCTTCAGACCCAGTTCAGGTGTATAACCACAAGCCTGTCCAATTACAAAGACAAGTGTCTTGAATTAGAAGGCAATAAAAAGCAAAACTTATGTAGTCAACCTGATCCAGAATAATTTATTAAAGCCCTCCATACATTTTAAAACAAAAGCAGTTGTGTTGAAATTTACTCCATATAGACCTTGTGGTCCGACTTTAGCATCAATATTACTCTGCTGACAGGAGATGTCAGCAAAGCAAAGCCTTGTTTTTCTTTTTGTTATTTATTGTAGTGTTGCCCTGTTTGTTCTTGCAGGGTCTTTCTCTACCTTGAGCAGTCATTCATCATAGGAGGATTTGGCAGTGGCTTCATTATTCAGCTGTCTCAAAATTTTTCCTGATGTTTCCTTTGGGAAGAAATGTCCTTTGTCTGCAAAGATCAGAAGAGGCTTTTGGTATTTGGCAGGCAGAAAACTTCTGCTCCAGTAGCAGTGCTGGGTAGTCAGGGTTAAAAAACTGCTGGTGATGGTGATGGCACAAATTGAGCCAGTTGCTTGAGATGTGCACCATAAATTGCTTTTACCTACCTCCTTTGAGAACCTAGGAAATCATTTTTTTAATTATTAGAAAACGTTATTTATTTATAAAGTACTACTAGCATGAAAAATAAGAAATGCCAGATTTACCTGCAACCTAAATTCTGTTCCCTTGTGCACTGTAATAGAGTTTTAATTACTTAGTCACAAGCTATTAGTTCCATAGGATTCCTGTCTCATTCTGTACAAAAGAGGGCAGAATTAATGTTGCCTGGGCAACTGTAAATCTGGAGTTTTCTTGCAGTTGAGTACTTGACTTTACAATACAGACAATGTGTTTTCTTAGTTTTATGTAACTTCAGCATTCATTATCCACGTCACATATAAGATTGTGGGACAATCAGTAAGAGATTTCGGTGTGCACTAAAGAGAACAAGCATACGGTATTCACAAGCCAGATTCAAATATGATATTTGTGTACCTGTTGTGTCAAAATGGACAGGTAGACCAGCAAGTCTGATTGAACTCTAATTAAGCAGAACATATCTTTTCAGGGAAAATACTATAGCATGCATTTTAAAGCAAAGTCAGGATAGAAAAGAATGTCACTAATCAGCTTCCATGTTCTCATTTTCAGGACCTATTACGATGCAGAGTTTTGACATCAGGGATTTTTGAAACAAGGTTTCAAGTAGATAAAGTAAATTTCCAGTAAGTCTGTTAGTAATGATTTATGAATGTTTTACTAATCTTAACAACTCAGATGTGTGTTTTCATGTCTTCCTGGCATAATTGGGCATAGGGTGAATGTCAGAGTTGTTTGGTTTAGGTGGGTTTTTGTAGCTGTTTCCCTAGATCCCAGTAAAATTCCCTTATACTTCATTGAAAAAATAAAAGATGATACTAGTCATGTATTAGTGCTGCTCTGTTGTGGGGACATTTTTACTAGCTCATTCATTTAGATAGCACTGCAAACTCATACTTTTGGGATGAGATCTGGCAGAACTTAGTGTCATTCCACAAGCCACAATTTGAATACTGGTACAGTTACATGTCTTGCTCCTTCTTTCTTCTCCTTCTGGAGAGCTGCAAGTTCTGTGTTGTGCAGCATCTCTGTTAAAGTACTGCCAGGCTACCTCCACACTGGTTCTCATCCAAAAAGGTAGCAGTGCTGGTGGGGGACAAGTTGCCTTTGTGTTCTCCTCCTTGAACGCCTGTACTCTCTCTACCACACTGCAAAAGATGATGAAACCTCTGTTTATAATACAATAGCCCCAACCATCTATACCATGTGATTTCTGTACACCACAAAGGCAGCAATTTTCTTACTGTATGGATTCGGCAGTACTCTTGCACCCGGCTGGTGGCAACCCCCACTGTCAGTACAAGCTGGGGGACAAAAGGATAGACCACAGCCCTGCCAAAAAGGACTTGGCAGGGGATAGTAGCTGGATATGAGCTAGCAGTGTGTCTTTGCAGCCCAGAAAGCCAACTGTATACTGGGCTGCATGGCCAGCAGGTCAGGGGAGGTGATCCTGCCCCTCTGTTCTGTGCTGGTGACGCTTCACCTAAAGTATTGTGTCCAGATGTGGAGTCCTCAGTACAGGAGAGACATGGACATGTTGGAGTGCATTGAGAGGAGGGCCACAGTAATGATCCCAGGTTTAGAGTACCTCTACTACAAGGATGGGCTGAGAGAGCTAGGGCTGTTCAGCCTGAAGAGGAGAAGGCTCTGGGCAGACTTTCAGTATCTAAAAGGGGGCTGTAAGAGAGAAGGGGACAGACTCTTTAGCAGAGTCTGTTGTGATAGGACAAGGGAAAGTGGTTTCAAGCTAAAAGACATTTAGACTGGATATAAGGAAGAAGTTTTTTACAGTAAGGCTGGTAAGGCAGTGGAACAGGTTGCCCAGATAGGTGATGTGTGCCATGTCCCTGGAGACATCCAAGGTCAAGCTCGATGGAGCTCTGAGCAACCTGATCTGCTGAAGGTGTCGCTGTTCATTGCAGGGGAGTTGGACTAGGTGACCTTTAAAGGTCCCTTCCAACTCAAAGGATTCTATGATTCAGTGATTCTCCCTGGGGGAGCGGGGCAGGCGGAGTGGGGCAGTGCTCTGGCATGCAGCACAGCAGCTGCAAACCTCTGTTCCCTTCAGGCAATTATTTTACTGCTGCTGTCCTCAAAGCTGCCAGATTCATAAACTGAACCCTTGTGCTGCATGCGTGCTTTGTGTGACTTTCCTAATGCACATGAGTGACGTAACATCCTATGGCTTTTTAACAGCATGTTTGATGTAGGTGGCCAAAGAGATGAGAGAAGAAAATGGATCCAGTGCTTTAACGGTAAGTAAAAATGTTCCACATTTTAATTTCAAATTTGCTTTGTACGGAGCGAGCAGCTTAGCATTTGTATGTCTTACTTACGCTGAGAACATAGTGTGTCTCTAATAGGGAAGTCCAACATGATAAATATTTTCTTGAGGCCTTTGGGGCAATAGGGGAGCAATGGCAGTATTACCATGAGTGCTGTGATAACAGAAACTTCCTTTCTCTCTCCCTTCTTTCTTCTGTGTGCTTTGTCCAGATGTCACGGCTATAATCTTTGTTGTGGCTTGCAGCAGCTACAACATGGTAATAAGGGAAGACAATAACACAAACAGACTACGGGAATCCCTGGACCTTTTCAAAAGTATCTGGAATAATAGGTAAAATACACCTCTTTTTTTCTCCCACTGCAATTCAGCTACAATCCAACTCCCTACAGATTTAGATTCCTTTTAGCACATGGTCATATTGACTGTTCAGAAAATGCCCAAGGCAGGGCCAGGCCATGAGGTGCAATGGCCAGAGTGATGCATGGATACTTAGCCAAATAGCAATATAAATCTATTCCTAGTGGTGAATGAGTAATGACAACACACAGGATTAGGTAATAAAAAGTTTCTAGCATACAGCTCTTAGGATGGTCTACACTGAGAGGTGACTGATGGTAAAGTGAGGAAAAACACTAAGCCAGGTCTCAAAGGTACGTTGTCACAGCGATGGTTAGGCACTAGCTGGCTAAGAAGAGAGATTATTTACTTTTGATCATCACATACAAGTCGTCTTAACAGACAGTGCCTTTGTGTGGATGAACTATTAGTTAAGACAGTGCAGTTTTCCAGCCTTTGTCTCTTGGTTCAGCAAAACCCAGTGAAGTAGACAGAAATGTCAAATTTCAGGAACTGCCATCATTTTCCAAACTTAATTTCAGAAATCGAGTTTAGAAAACAGTGATTCAAGACTGTTCATGTCAGTGGTATCTACTGGAGATTTTAGAAATGTGTGCACAGATCTTATAAATACATCTATCAGCCCAGGTAATAATTAACATAATAATTCCAGTTCCATTATTTTTCTGTTAACCAAGTTCTAAATATTGCATATAGGGACAACCAGTAAATTTTCCATTGGTGTGATGTGTTTCCTTTGGTAAATGTGTCAGAAATAATTCAAACATATGGTTTGTTTCTGACAGGTGGTTACGGACCATTTCTATCATTTTATTCTTGAATAAGCAGGACATGCTGGCTGAAAAAGTCTTGGCAGGGAAATCAAAAATTGAAGATTACTTTCCTGAATACGCGCATTACACCGTACCTGAGGATGGTAAGATTTTTACCACTTGAGGGATTTCACTAGCTGGGATACTCGTTCCATTGCTCTGTCTCACACACACACACATGCACATTCACAAACACACACATGTTGTTGTTCAGTGTGTGTGAGATCAGGCAGCTGCTCCATCCTGTACTGCCCATGCTGCTGTGTGTGGATCGGTGGATGCCGAGGACGTGGCACGTGGCCCAGTGCTGCCTCAGGCTCAGGAGGCTCTGGGTGCTGGGGGGTCTGGCAGAGACACGGCTTATGTCCTCCTTTGCCCATCAACAGCAGCTTAGGTTATAGAAATAAAGGTAATAATGAGGTGTGTGCACCTCCCATTCAGGCTGAAACATTGAGAGTCTAATAATGAGTTTCAAATGCAAAGGATAAATAAACTTTCCCAAAATCTGAGTTAGGTGGGCACTAGTTCTATAACCATAGGGGTGTCAGAAATCTTCAGTCACTGTCACATGAATCTCTCTGTACCAAGAGTAGACCCCACTAAAACTGAGAGTTTGGGTAAATTATTAAAATGAACATTTCCCATAGTAAAGCAAGTTGCCAGAATAAGGTAGCTTTTCATTTTCCTCAGCAGGATTTCACAGTAGATATCCTGAGTGATTCAGAATATCCACACATAAACCAGCTCTCTGTCTTTAACCCATGGTTGCTCATTTATTCCCTAACTTTAGACAATGTTATTTAAGGACAAAAGCACTGAACTGTAAGCCACTGGTTATGCAGCTGCTCTCTGTTTACCCCTGCTGCTCCAGATAAGAGTAGAAAATATTTCCATATTCAGATAAATTCTGTCCTTTATCACATTACGCTTAAAAGCATTTAATGTGGTATCTTAGTCAAGGAGAAACCACACCAAAGGGAAGTGGATAGATTATCTCTTCCCTGCACTGTTTAATTTTCACACTTAGGGTAAATACAGAGGTAGATAGAGATGACTTAAACCTCCTGACAGACAGCACCAAGTAATGAGTCTCGTGTACAACAAGATTTTAATCTCGGACCCTTTGTATGTTTAAGTGGCAGTACATCTAAGTAATCTTCCCATGTGGGGCCTGGAAGAAAAATACATTTTTATAAAGCATTTGTAATGCTATGGCATTTCTTCAAATGTAACCTTGCACTGAATCTTGCACTGTTTTTTTAAACCCAAATTCCTGCTTTTAGAATCTCTGCTCCAGAGGTGCTCTCGTGTTGCACAAGCCAGAGAGCTGTTCTTGTAATCATATTTTCTGATAAAGATAAATCCCAACTGCCACTTCTTTTATTACCTATGTGAACAAATTTATGGATGTGAGTAAACCTCTTCACGTGTGAGAAATGACACTTGCAAAAACATCAGTAACGTTCAGGTCCCTGAGAGATACCAAATGCTTAGAAGTTTATTTCAGATTTTACAGTACCTTTCCATTTTAGAGTTGTGTATCCAGAGTCTCATGTGGATATTCAGTATTTTAATTTCTGTATCAAGGGACTACTTCCTCCTCACTAAATCTTCTGTTGTGAAAAAGAGAATATTGATTGCCTTTCCTGTTTCTCATATAACTTATTTTTAATTGAACAGCAACACCAGATGCAGGAGAAGACCCCAAAGTCACAAGAGCCAAGTTCTTCATCCGGGATGAGTTCTTAGTGAGTAATTTTGATCTTATGTATGATCCTATCATAGGAAATACAGGCAGATGGCAACGTTTATTTAGGGAAAACTGACGAGGTTTTGCAGAAAGCTCGAAGGAGAGGGGAGTGTCTGGCAATTCCCTAATTCTTTTCAGCTGCCTGTCTTGCAGAACTTTCTCCAGTGCTTGCACATTTTTCTGCCCGTTTATTGTAAAGTCACCTGCCTCCTATCTATCTCTTGGATACAAATAATTATCAGTCACGCAATCACAGCTTCCTCCCAGAACCAGGGGGCTTCATCCAAAACAACTGACGTCTTCAGTCATACCAAGTCAATCTAGCCAAGCAGGATTGGAGACCAGAACTAAGGCTTAGAACTTTGAATATTGCCCTACTTATAGAAACTGTATGGGGGTGTTCGAGAGAACAAGTTTAAACATTAGAATGAAGATGTTTAAAGTCATTATGCGTTTACAAATATTGTTAGGATTTATAGCTGTTGAATCAACAGCAAAGAAAGAAGCAATTAATTATGTTCACACTTTGGGGATTTCCATTCACTGCCTTAACCTTCCTGATTATGAGGAAAATAATCAGATTGCACTGTGTTGAATAAGAGTTACCAAAAAAAGAACACTGTGAGCCAAATCTCTCTGCAGTAGTGCCAAAGTGCTGTGAAGCAGATGACACTGAGGGTGTCCAGTTTGGAAGAGGGGTCCAAGAGAACCAGATTACAGGAAAACTGGGGCAAGACTCCTCAACTTTTTGTGTAAATAAATACACCAAGGGTGAGATTCTCACCTTTGATGACTCACGTGCGTTGTACTAAGGAGGCCACCTGCAAACCAAGCAGAGAGGCAATGGGCTTTGCAACCACATTAAAAGCCAGCTATGCATCTGCAGAAGCTCTTGGTAGACACAGGTGCTATGGGTGCAGGATAAGAGTTTGGGCTGGGCCCAGCACCTGCCAGCAGCAGACAGCTTGCCCTGTAGGTCTGGCAGAGAGTGTCTCCTACATGAGGAATTGTCAGGTGCCTCTCTCCTGGCTTTGTGCTTTGTATTTTTCAACATGATGTAGCCATTTAACAGTTGCTTTAAACCTTGCACCGGTTTGAGAGGAAGTCTTGTGAATGAGGCATTTCTGGTCAGATGTGTGGTCTGAAGAGCCTGTGTGCATCCTTCTTAATGTTGGCAGCCAACAGAGGTCAGTGGCCCTGTGACCAGAGGGGATAGAGAGAAACAATCCAGTGGGGAGGGGAGCTGGAAGGAAGAGGTGTTCATTTTCAGCCTGCAGCCTTCTTGACTCTGCTTGTGTACGTTTCTGTCTAAGTCTTTTCACTTATGACCTTGTCCTGCCCTGCCATGTTTTCAGCCATGACTCAAACAAGTCTGATTTTACTCTTTTATTATCATTCTTACTGTGGGAGCAGGTGTGCATAAGTCAGGGATTTATATGAAAATCATAACTGCTTCAAGACCCTATAGCTCCCCTTCAGCTCACCAGGCTGTAGATACACGGCCTGCTTTTGTGTTCCAGGTAAATTTAAAACAAATAATTTGAATACAGGAGGATAAATATAAAATCCTCTCCGACAAATTCAGCTGCAAGGTAATGCGTGAGCATGAGGAAGGCAAAATACATTGGCCACTGATATTGGAATCAGTGTAGCTGCCCGTGGCATCCACTGCATTCAGCTGTGCAGTGCTGATGGAACTGGAGCCATTAATTTTTAACCATGGAAAATGCTGGGTGCGGCCTGGCAGGGAGCTCACCGCTGCTGCTGGGCTTCCCATCAGCTCTGCTGTCAGCAGCAACGTTTTCTCTTTGGCATCCCCCATTGCAGGAAACGTGCTTTATAGGAAATTCCCCTTCCTTCTGACATGGGCAGAGGGCACAGGAGCATCCTTTCTCCTCCCATGCTCTTCATTTCTCATTGTTCAGCATCCTCCCTATCCCACTTTCGGTGTTCTGTACACAGGATTCTCCATATGCTGATATTTTAATACACTGCCAGTATGAAGGCAATCCCTGTTAAATCAGAGGCATGGCCGCTCCGATTCATTCTGGTTTTTAAAAAGCTGTTTCAGGAGCTGCTGTTCAAAGGCAGTGTCTGAATGCTTGTGTCCTCGCTGGGAACTGTCATCCCCTCCCCTAGATATCAAAAAACCTTAAATGAGAGACCTGCCAGGGCCCAAAGATTGCAGTCTTAGAAATTGATCCTTTGACCAACTATCACCAGAGCAGTGATGCATAGGAGTGGCTGCGCAAGATAAGCACAGGCAAGCACTTAATGACAGAACAATTATTTTAGTGAAGCACAAGGAAAAGACTGAACATTATTAAATTGGTAGGGCTTGGCTCTGAAGACAGTCTTGCTTCCTTCCAGCAAACAGCTGCTGTAAGCACACTATGCAGAGATGCTGTTGTGCTCATTGCAGTGTGCTGAGATCATGCTGCTTGAAGGGAACTGCCTGAAGGAGGAGGAAAGCCCTGCAGCAGTTAGAGGCTGCAGAAGTAGGTGGAGCTCAGTGCAAAGGGGTCGAGCATCCCTGCAAGCACTCAGAGCAGACCTCTAGGGTGCCTGAGTTGGGAATGGTGGTGAATGGAGTTAAATCCAGCTGATCACGAATCACTAGTGGTGTTCCATAATGGCCAGCTAGTATTGGGGCCTGTCCTGTTTAATATCTTCAATGATGATCTGGATGAGGGGATTGAGTGTACTCTCAGTCCTGCACTTTGGTCACAACAATGAAAGGCTACAGGCCTGGGGATGGAAAGCTGCACGGAGGAAAAGGATCTGGGGGTGTTAGTTGACAGCCAGCTGAATGCGAGCCAGCAGTGTGCACAGGTGGCCAAGAAGGCCAATGGCATCCTGAGTTGTATCAGAAATAGTGCAGCCAGCAGGAGCAGGGAAGTGATTCTCTCTCTCTGCTCTGCGGCGGTGAGGCTGCACCTCAAGTGCCTTGTTCAGTTTTGGGCCCTTCACTACAAGAAAGACAGAGGCCCTGGAGCGTGTCCAGAGAAGGGCAATGGAGTTGTGAGGGGTCTGGAACAGATGAGGGAACTGGGATTGTTCAGTGGAGGAGTGGAGGCTCAGGGGAGAACTTATCACTCTTTACAACCTGAAGGGAGATTGTGGCAAGATGGAGGTGCACCTCTTCTCCCATCTAACAGTGATAGGATGAGAGGTAATGGCCTGAAGTTGCACCAGGAGAGGGTCAGGGTGGATGTTAGGGAAAATCTTGTCCAAAAGAGTGGCGCAGCATTGGAAGCAGCTGCCCAAGGAGGAGGTGGAGTCACCATCCCTGGAGGTGATTCATGATGAGGCGCTGAGGGACATTGTTAGAGTGCGTGGTGGTGGTAGGCTGATGGTTGGACGGGAAGATCTTAGAAATCCTCTCCAAACTCAATGTTTCTATGATTCTAAAAACAGCAGTAATTAGAAGCGGTGATCTAAAAAAAAGCAGGCTGGACCATCATCTTAGGGCCAACTTTTCTTCTTTTTCCTCCAAGGAAAAAGATTTAGTAACTGGACTCTCTTTACTGCATTTGAGTGACATGTTACCATCATGTAGATCTGCAAGGGGAAAAAAAAAAAATCAAGAGAGAAGCAGATGATGCATTAAAAACAGAAGCACTACTGCACTTCTTAGTGTTTCTATAGTAGCACCACAGTTGATTTCCAGGCATGACATTGTCTGTTCAGCACTAAGGCTCTGGTTACCCCCACAGTTACAAGATGGTGATCTCCCCAAACATTTCTAGCAGGTTTGGAAGCCTGTATCCTGCACATGGAAAAACAGAATTAGCATTTTAATTGAGTTTCAGAATTTTGCCACTATTTAAGTAATTTGTAAAACTTTTCCATTTCTTTATTGTTTAGTGTAATTCATGCTTCAGGTATGGTCTGAACTACTGACCCGTCAACTGAACAGGGTGTTAAATCTGTATTTCTCATTAAGGTAATTCCTGAGCTAGGTATTAAATGTAGCATAGTAAAATGGAATTCTTGTTTAGTATATATTTAGAAGCCCTGCGTTTAATCAGCGTAGAGTGTCTCCGTTTTCCTGCAAATCTCTGCAACTTCTTATTGATCTAATTATGTAAATCATTGCTTTTAAATGTCAGTCATTTGCATATCTAGCTGTGCATATTGAAAAGTCCTTTCCCATGGGTAAAACAAATCTCTGTGTTACAGTCCAGAGAGAAAAAGCATTGAAAAATAGAAAAAAAGCACTGCCTTTTGTTGCTTAACCGCTGGAACTTGTAACAACATTCAGGGAGGATTTACCAAAGGATTATGCCAAGAATTGACCTTCTTCTTTTATGCATAGTCTTCAAGATATATGATCCAGGATGGACTTACATCAGTCAGTCCTACAGTGGCAGGGAACAAAGTTACAATTTTTAACATACTGTAAGATGCTGAGGCTTTTTAACAAGATAACCAGAGATCTGGTTGATGCTAGAGCTTCAGTTAGCAGCCTGAAGGGTTGTGCAGCAGTGAACGTGTAACTCCAAGTGATGTGATGTGTGCTGGCTCTGTGTGCCTGCTGCTGTTCCGCAGGGACTCAGCCTCTGTCCTGGCAATTCCAGCGTGCTTCAGGCTCAGAAGTGACGCCAAGTCTTCAGGAGCTCAAAAACGTATCACATAATGGCACTACAAAAAAAAAGGAGAGAATAATTGCTAGGGTAGACCTTGGCAGGATGCAGCACTGCCCACAGCACAAGTTTGCTGCATGGTGATGAACAGAGTGCCAGTACACCCATCCCATAATATCATCCATCACTCTTTTTTCCCTCCATTTCAAAACTGTGATTCCTTTTGGAACACCCCGAAGTCCTTCCTTTTTTTTTTTTATTTCAGCTGTTAGGTATAATGATGCGCCATTTCCCAGGTTTTGAGTCTCTAGTAAGGCCACAGGTCACTGGGAGGGGAAACTGGTAGGGAGCAGCCCCAGCAGGCCCCCTAACCCTTCTCCCTGCCTGTTTCCACAGAGGATAAGCACGGCGAGCGGAGACGGCCGGCACTACTGCTACCCGCACTTCACGTGCGCCGTGGACACAGAGAACATCCGCAGAGTGTTCAACGACTGCAGGGACATCATCCAGAGGATGCACCTCCGCCAGTACGAACTCTTGTGAGGGGATCGCCGTGGAACCTGTGGTTTTAAATTCTTTGCTCCTTACTCTTTCTCTTGATACTACCCCACACAGGGTGGAAGAATATACTATAGAAATGTCAGTCTCTTCACTTGGTTTACTTTAATTATTTAACCGTAAAGCTGATTTGAAGCGAGTTTGGGTTGGTTTTCCTTCATGCTTTTTGGGACTATTTTTGTGCTTTATTTTGACATGCCACTTCTTCGTCATTCCACTAAGCCCTTTGGCTACCTCTGTTCCCTCGGGTTTTGTTGTTGAAAGCGAGCACGACCTGCGGCGCGTTGCGGCGGGTCGGTGCCAGTTCGGAGCGGGATGTTGGCTGGACGACGCTAAGTCACGGCGCTCCCTCCGTGTGGGTTTCCTTTTTAACGTGACATTGAAGAGTACTTGATGGGTGAAAAAGATTAATGCACTTTGTATCAGGTTATTAAATACTGTCGAGGAAGTAGACACACAATGTAGCAGCACCACAATATTTATTACTCCGTCACAGTTTTTAGCATTTCTGAGTTGCAGGTCAACTGATACGGTGACCTCCTCTTTTAAGCCGTTACTGGCGCAGGAAGTAGAGTAGATACTGAGAGGAATAGTGAAGACAAAGCAATTTCTCTGGGGTTCCGGAGCTCAGCGTCTCTGCGCACCTCAGGTGTTTGAATCACAGCTCCTTTTCAGCCTGTCGCATCTAGGCAGAAAATTGACCGCCCTCACTTACGTTGTTTGTGCTGTCCACAAATGATCCTTTTTGTTCCGATCATTCTTGGACGACGGTCCTCTCCCTATATATATTTTTTTGTTTTACTGCTGGTTTATTATATTGTACAGACTGTAAAATGTAATATTATTTTGTACAACTTTATTGAAGAAAAATACTTGTAGAAGATCTTTGTGCCTTGATTATGGCTGTACCTGTAAAATGAGCTAAGATGTAAGTATGTTTTTGATTGCGCTGTACAGCTTGATGTCAACCTTACCTGCAGCAGTGACTGGAGGTAAGAACTTTATCTGTAGAGTTTAGGGGTTTTTTTCTGGTTTATATAAAAATGCTCTTTAGTATAAAAATTATAAATTATGCAAATTAACCACTTACCTTTCCCAGTGAGGTATTACCGTCACCGGATGTTGCAGCAAACATGCCTTTCTCTTTCGAAGTCTCAGCTTTAAAACATTGGAATTCATTCGAGTGTCCAAATTGCAACCTGGTGTTGTTTTAATGGGAACCGAGGATTTATTATTATTATTATTATTCTTTTTTTCCTTTCTGTTTAGAAAATATGTTCGGTAATTCTTCGGTCATTCATAGAACTTCACAATGGCACAGACCGATTGTGAACGTGCAAAGCAGCATTCTGTAGAGCTCTTCGATCTCTGTACCAACAGCGGCTTTCATTGTGCAAGTAAATAGCGAGAAAGAAGACAAAAAGTTGTATCGACCCTCGTGTCTGGCCTAAGAGAATTACAAGATGACATTTTTATTTCTCTTTTAATAAAGAGACACGTTAGAAAATTGTTTTATTTTAAATATTGTAGAATCAAAATGTGTGAATATTTCTCAAACTTGAATAATTTATGCAAATGACATTCTCAAAAACAAGTTGTGGTACAGTACAATATATAAAAGCAAGAATTGCTGTAGCAATAAGGCATGTCCTTTTTAGTAACTATAACACTGCTTTATATTTTATACATAGGTGTTTTCTGTCTGTGACTATATACTTTTCCTGTGTCCAAGATAACCTGTACAAATGTCTAAAATTACAGTTGCAATAACAGAAACCTAGCGAAGTGTTAGACTACATTACTTCACAGAGTGTTTTACCACACTTGGACCGTTCCCACTCCTCGTTTTAAAGTTAGGGAGAGATTAAGAGCTGACACGTTCCCGACGTTGGCCTCCAACTCGGCGCTTCGATCGGTGTTTTGCTGTAAGCACCGCTGGTGGTTACAAACCCCTGCCACCACCTCTCAAATTCAAGTCAGACTGCGGCCCACCGCAGTCCTTGTTTCTATTTGATGACAAACAACCCCATTTTAGACATGACAATATGACCATTTCTTCTTCTCAGAAACGTGTAGATTTTAATACGTGCAAGTGGAGTCATCAGATATTGTCCAGAAAGCGAAGGGCTGAGTGGACTGAGCTAGTCAACAAACCCCCTGAATGCAGAGATTCTCTCGCTTCCCGTGCCAATGAAAGTACCGGGACAAGTAACAGCAGACAGTCTCGGCCTCAGAAGCAGCCCCTGCCCCAAGAGCTACCAGAAGAGCTTTGCTGGGGTGGGTGGCGAGACACGGTGAGGTTTGTGGCGCCCTCCCTTAGGCACAGTGCGCAGAGGTGCTGAGCTCTGCTCCAGCGCTGCCACCCGGCCGGGGGCTCCTTGCAGCTGCCACCTCCCCAGCGCGGAGCCGCTGCACTTCGCAGTGGGACACTACAGAAACGCTAAGAGCCGGCAGCCCTGCCGGAGCCTGCAACAGGAGGCGCTGCCCCTAGCGCCTGCCTGCGGCTGGGGGCTGAGGCACAGGACAATGTTACTGCAGCTGTAGTTGACCTTCCTCCTTGCAGAGCGGCAGCCGGAGGGCCCCTCACCGCACAGATCTCTGGGATGCAATAGGGCCCTCTTTTTTAAGCCCATCATAGCACATCTTTTTAAAAATAGCAGCTTGAGGTGTCAACCTACTTTTGTTTTAAGCAGGTTTCAGGTGTTGTACCAGCAAACTGGATCTGCGAGGCTTCTTCGTGTTGCTGTCTGGTAGATGCTAAACGGTAGCCATCCAATAGTTCTGTGTGACAGGAACTGCAAGGTTTCTTGTCCCTCGCGTAGGACATTCTAAAAAGGTTATGGAAATCTGCATCTCTCAGTGCCGATGTCTCTTGCTTCTGCCTGACCCTACCAAATAGACGTGTGACAGTAGAAGGGCCACGCAGCAATAAAAGAGAGAAACGTTTCCAGTTTGCAGCACTGAGCCTCTCCAGGGTGTGACACTAGTGCAGACAAGTGATGAGGCAACAGGATTTACATAATGTACAGTTACACTTTTAATATACATATTTGATACAAAAATTATAGCAGGAAAAGGACTCATTTGATTGTAGAATACAGTATTTTTGTACAGCATGGAACGTTCATTTCAGTTAATTATTTATCCTGTAGTAGTCATATCAGCTGTATAGGACTTCTATGGTATGTGTAAATGCAACCTGCCTTCAGACTAGCAATCAAATTTAGGTCATTTGCTGGCATGAATATAGTCTGATGTTTGACTGTTCTCAGCTTTGGTATTTCAGTGACTGAATGCAGATGTCTGGCTCTTCATGCTGCTTTATGCTTACTGATTAAACGCTGAGCAAAATAAAATGGTGGAGTGAGAAGCTGAAAATGAGCTAGCACCAGGACGACGAGCAGGGCTCCTGCTGCCCAGTATATAGCGAAGACTCTGCTCTCACGTGGAAGGAAGCATTTGTGGAGGGAGAAGTCAGTTGGTGTTATGCTGCCCTGGAAAAGAAAGACAGTGTCACTGCGCTCTTACAGTGGGTCCCACAGCAGGAGTTGCACCAGAGCGGGCAGACCTGCAGCTCCCAAGTTCTGTGTTGGGTGCAGAGGGTTAGGGCCAGCTCCCAGTACCAGTGCCTTCTCCAGGGGGCTGAAGAGTCTGTAGTGGCAGTGCTGGGCGCTAACTGGAGCAGCCAGCAGCCATCTTCAGCCCAGGCACCAAGCTGCCTGCTTCTCAGCGAGAGAAACCAGGGAGCTGAGCTCCTCCTCAGCTCAGCCTTCAGAAGCCAAACTCCAGCTGCAGGGAAGCAACCCGGAGGCAGCCTTCCTGGGCTCAAGTTAGACTTTGTGAATGTGCCCCTTCCTCACCCCAGGCCCTCCTTCTACCCACTACACACTGCAAAACACACGTTGGCTAATCCAAATTGCCTACACAACTTAAACAACTGAGAACTTTGTTGGGTTTTGGCTTGAAATCTAATTCAAGTTTACAGCAGCCTGAGGCTGAGCTAAAACCATAGCAAGGAGGATGCTGCTTGAACTGGCCAACCTCTTGTTTTGTCTGGCATGTACAGAGAGCATACACAGTTTGAAGGCAGCTGCTCTCAGGAATACGGAATAAACACAACTAATTTTCAACAAGAAAGATTAACAGCATAAAATGAATTGCAAGGTTGGGGTTATCTGTGTATTAAGGAGCCTAAACTCATCAGTGAAAAATACCTTAAAGGGATTTGCCCCCTTAGTCACAGAATACTCCATAAACAGAGTGCAGGTTTTGGTGCTTACTCCACATTTCTCAGAGTTCTGTTTTCTTTCTCTCCTGGGGAATGTGTTGATTTACCTCTGATGATATACTGAGCACTGGAACTGCCTGCGCAAGCAGAACCAACGCTGCATGAATGCAGACTGGACGCGAAGAGGCGGCCCACGGGCACGCAGGCAACGCTTTCCCTGTGTGAAGTGATCCGTGCCCGAGGCTGAAGGCCACCACCACCACGTGAAAGTTCAGGGTGGCAATGGTCTTTGTTTAGAGTGGGTAAATCAGCTGAGTAACGTGAGCCTTTCTACTGTTTGGTGCACAATACTGATTCTTTCTTACAAGTCAACAGTTTACAACGCGCCCTCTTCATAAGCAAATGTCAGATGCTTGTACCCAGATACTGATTAGGTCTTTAACAGCATTGCTTTGTACCACAGAGAACGTGGCTCCCACAGATGTGCTTTATAAAGTGGACGCAGTGTACAGAGTGGGTCGGGTGGGTAGGCAGTTTTTTTTATTTTTTGTTTTTACAGGTAGAATCAGTTTTAAAATATAGCTGACTGCCATGTTGATTTATTTATGAGAGTTCTCTGACAAAAATAAAAAAAAGATAATAATTAAAAACTTACCATGATGAAACTAGGGTTGTTTCTATTCCTCCAACTGAACGACGGGACGCTGATCTCCGGGATCCCCCCCGCGTGCAGCACTTGGCAGGCGCTGTGCGTGTGCCCGCTGAGAATCAGGCGGGGATGGAACCACCACAGCAGCTGCAGTGCGCAATGGAAAAGCACAGCAGTAAGCCGTAACTAAAAGGGAACCGCACGCACGGCCCGTTTCTTCTTCTGACAGAAGGAAAATGTGGGAATTCTGGCAATCTGAAGGAGTGTTTTGGATCAACTTCTGTTTTCCATTAGGTTTATGTTGGCAGTGCGATATCACAGTCATAGAATCACAGGGGTTGGAACGGGCCCCTTTTTATGGAGTCCAAGCCCCTGCTAAAGCAGGTTCCCTACAGTAGGCTGCGCAGGAAAGCATCCTTGCAGGTCTTGAATATCTCCAGAGAAGACCCAAATACTGCTTTTTCTATCCACACAGATCAGAAAAACGAAGCTAACAGCATGCTCCCAGCATTGCAGATAGAAACACCATTTTAACAAAACAACTGGGTGTTCTCATCCATGGGAGAACCCTGTACTGCCCATCTTGAGTGAAGATGTTTATGCAGCAGGAGATAAACACCAACACAGCTTTGGGGCGTACAGCAAGTTTACATGTTCTTGCAGTTACTCCTGCAGCAGTGCTGTCAAACAGGGGCTTTCTGCTAGGTTTGCCATTAATAGCCACATTATATAAACTACAGAACGCTACCCTAGGATAACAGTGGCACAGCACGCTTAAGAGCACCTGCACTTACCACATGCAGAATCGAGGCCCAGATCACGCTGACCCTCAAGAGATGATCCACAGCTCTACTCAGCAGCCTCCAAGAGGCCACAGTAAGCAGGAGCCACAAAGGGCAGTTCATTTCAGCAAACGTTTGCCCTTTCCAGAATGTCCAAGCCAGTAGGTTGCCAGGGACCCAGGCCACTCTCCAACCCACCCACCCACCCACCGATACTCAAGCTGCCGATAGAGAAAACCTTTTGTGATGCTTCCTGAGACAGCACATCGTACTTCTCTTTAAATGGGATGGCCTTCTCCTCCGGAGAGGCAGCATCTTCTCCACTGCATTCTGCATCATTTTTCCGATAGAGAGGGTAATGCTGAGTGAAATGCAAAGCGAGGACGAGTTGTCAATGACACGGCCTTTCTAGAAAGGTCATAAATACCCGAAGCACACTGACACGCTGCCTCACCCATCCCCAGTTCACCTGCAGAAGGATTGGTTGTGAAGCTGGAGGCTTTTCTGCATTGCTGCACCTCTTCTCGGGATGGTTCAGTTCCTATGAATAAAATCAATCCATATATACTGTCCTCACCTCTGTGTACCAAAGAGGTGGGGAAGGGATTTACACAACAGCTACAGGTTGAGGTATTGGATTTTTCAGTTGTTTTGTTTCCTTCCTTGAGAAAAGCAGTACCTGCTCAGAGTACGGTGTTTTAATACTGCACCAACTTCTAAGAGACTGCTGCAGGTATACAGGGAAAGCTCTGCTTTCCCGTTCACAACATGGTGTGAATTGAGCTACACTCTTCCTGAAGATAGTCAAGATATTCAAGATATTCAAATGCTTTCCTGTGGAAAGCAACCACAGGCTCCCACTGACAAGGAGTCACAAGAGATTGAAGGCAGCCTGAGATGCAGCATTTAGGATTAGGCAGTTCTTCCACTGGGAAATGGTTTCAGACTATCAATGCAGCATATGATGCCGCCCACCTGGCATTGTCTCCTATGAGAGGGTGAAAAGGGATGAAGCAAGCAACTGGATTTGATGAAATAATACCACTGAAACATTACCAGACTAACCAGGCAGGATCAGAGCAGAATCAGAGAAGTACAATAGGATATACAGAGCAAAAATCGAAATGCATGGCTTATTTGATCAGAAGAAAGCAGTTTCTGTTAGCTGACAGCAATAACGAGGAAGTGAGCACCATTAACAGGCTAAGATGATAAATGAGGAGAGCTCTGCTAACACGTTACAGCAGGAATGGGAGTAGGTTTATTTCAGACAACAGCCTTCGCTACACCTTTACTGCTGCTACAGCATGGACATTTCCAGCGCAGCAGGCAGGCTGCTGGCTATCACCATGTCTTCAGCAGATCTTACCTGCTGGGAGCAGTTCAGTCTGTGAGAAAGCGCCACCAGCTTCGCCTCTGCAGTGCGGCACAGGGTGCAGCCATCGCCCTCCATGGCCACGCTGTTCACGAGGACAAAGCTGGAAAACACCACGCCGTGGGCTGAGAGGGAGTGGTGGTAAGGACAGGAAGGTGTTTGCTGCTCATGCACATGAGAATAAGCCTTATTTGATCAAATGCAAGGGTTCCAAAATGGGACACAGCTGAGCAAAACTGCAGAACATTGCAGCTTCTGATGTCACGTGTCGCAAATCCTTTTCAAGTATCCATCCTGTAGCTACTGGCCTGTCTTGTAGGCTGCTTCCTAATCAGTCGTTAATTAGGTTGCACCATATACTGGCTGCTGTATTCTATGTTTACTCCATCTTAATGACTGTAATAGATACCGGAGCAGTATTTGAGTGAAATGTTACAAGTCAACCAAACTGAGTTTTGAGAGAAAGGAGAACTTTGCTTCTCTCTCTGCACTCATTTCAGGCAACAGAAACATGTTTTTGATGTTCCATTCCTTCAGAACAACTGAAAAGCCTCACAGCACTGCATCTGGCTGCCTGCCTCCAGCACACAGGTTCATACCACGCAGCCTCGCAGAATGCAGCACTCGGTTAGTAGGAGAGCAGACACACAGCCTGTCTGCCACTGAAAGCCGGAATCCTGCTGTGCTGTTATATGAAAGGAGATGCAGAGACATTCCTGAACTGATGTGGAGTACGTATCTGTAGGACCCTACATCTATATAATAAACAGGAGCATTCACGAAGCTCGTAGATCTTCCTGGGGAAAAACAAGACCACTGCTAGACCTGTTTGGTATATTCTAAACGTCTGTTTAATTAATTAAGCAGGGCAACCTCCTTCTTTCTGGGTCTTATACTCCCATAAGTGATGATAACCTCCTAACATGCTGCCAAATGCAGAGCAGCAGTGGCTCTTCCCTTCCTGTAGCACTTTAGGTTTAAAGAGAAATGCTTTGTCACACTCCCACTACTGCTCTCTCTCACCAGACTCTTGCATGGTACATAACAGCAACCGAAGAGCACGCACCCAATAACAGCTCTGGCACCAAGCTCTGTGCTCAGGGCCTCAGCCTAAACAGAGACTGCATGACCCCACCGTGTGGGGAACCTGTGGCCAAACACTTGCTGTGTTCCCAAATTCCTCAGACAAGGACCAAAGAAGTTATTAAAATTAATGAAACTTTCAGCTTGCAAGCACGGGAGTTGGTTGTTTCTTTCCCAACTCCTATTCTGCTCTGTTTACAGCCATGGGTCATTACCAGCTGCGAGGAAGTACAAATACAAACCTAAGAATGTCATTCCGACTCCTCAGTACTTTTCCATTTGAAAGAAAATTGACCAAGCTTAGAGCAAAAGCTGCCCTCCAGATCTAAGTATGTGTGTCACCCCAAACACAAGCTAGGTATGAAGTAAAAGTAACAATAATCAGATTTAAGTGAAGCATTCCCCTACCTAGCAATTCAATTCCAGTTCTCATTCTCTTATTCCACTAACAGCTGGGCAGAACATTTATATACATATATACATATATATATACACACTCACTTTGTTCCTTTTCGAGTTATTAGCTTTCCTGAAGTAAAGTTGAAAACTTTTTCAAATCGATGGACCTTGTAAGTGGTCGTTCTGCAACACAGAATAAAAATACAACTGAGGTAAGAGACTGGCATTGTAGATAAATAATGGTATATAATAATAAATAATAATATAATCAATGCTTAAATAATCTGACAGAGCTGCTTTGCAATTTTTAAGCCATTCCCACAGCTTGCTGCTGAGTTACTTAGAGCACGTATTCATCCAGCAAGCACAGGGACACCCAGACACTGACAGCGCTGTGTTCTGTCCCAGTCACAGACGTCCCAGGAGAGCACAGGGCAAAAGAAGATGGGAAAGGAATATGCTTAGGCCGAGCACTTTGCAGACTATGAAGCCCAACACAAGGAAAAGAAACTTCAAGACTTCTCTGCCAACGCAGAGAAGTGAGCCCTGAACAACGTTGCATATGCTCTAAGAAGCACAAAAGTAGCCAGAAAGGAGCTGGGGATCCTGGTGGCCAGCAGGTTGGCCATGGGCCAGCAGTGTGTCCTTGTGGCCAAGGAGCCAACGGGATCCCGGCTCATATTAAAGAGTGTGGCCAGCAGGTCAAGGGAGCTGATAAAGCCCCTTTGCTCTGCCCCAGCAAAGCCACGTCTGGAGACCTGTGTCCAGGTCTGGGCTCCCCAGTTCCCCAAGAAAGACACAACTTCTAGACAGAGTCCAGCAGAGGGCTACAAAGATGACTAGGAGCCTGCAGTATCTCCCCTATGAGAAAACAGACCCAGGGCTGTTCAGCCTGGAAAAATGAAGAGTGAGAGGGGATCTTATCAACGCTTACAAACATCCATAGGGCAGGAGACAAGTGGATGGGGCCAGGCTCATTTCAGTGGTGCCCAGGGACAGAACAACACGCACAAAACTGAATGCAAAAATCTTCCATCTAAGCTTATTTACTTAATTACTTATTTACTGTGAGGGTGATGGAGTGCTGGAACAGCTGCTCAGAGAGGTCACGGTCTTCTTCTCTGGAAGTACTCAAAACCCTTTTGGACTCCTTCCTATGTGCCCTGCTGCAGGGACCTTGCATTAGCAGGGGGTTGGGCTGGATGATATCCAGAGATCCCTTCTAACTGCTCTAATTCTATGAAACCTGTACTAAAACGAATTCTTATGGTACACTGTGTGATGCAGGTACTTGTTAAGATCTTGCTCTAACTTACAATGCCATCTCATTTGATCAAAAGTATTTTACATGAACACAGAAAGTCATCCAGACACAAAACCCGTTACTGCATGCATGCTGACATTTCATTCTTGGCACTGGTGTATCTCTTGCACCAAAAGGACTTACTCATAATGAAACCCGATGTCGTGATTCCCAACAATAACCACCAGCTCAGTACTAACTGGATACTTAAACATTTTCTGAAATCTCCTGACATCATCTGCCCATGCCTGCAGAAAGAAAATGAAGAAACTAATGCTGTTCCACAACATGGGAGGGATAGGAGGAACTACAAGTGTATAATACAGAAGCATGCACTCAGTAAAATGCTCACGTTTCCTATGTTCTTTATCAGGTGGAAAGTGCCAAGATATTACTAAAAATGAAGGAGAATCACAACACATCAATTCGTATCTAAAACACTACAAACTTCTACGAGTAGGAAAACTGTAGTAACATAAAACAAAGCCTTGCATACCTAGTCTGTTTCCTTCTGCCATCCATTTCCTTCAAGAAATCCTCATTTTTTGAAACAAGAGAGCTGTTCATGTCATACCTGAGGTGAGTCCCATTTTCCTTCATCAAAGACATCTCCCAGAATAAAAACAATATCTGGCTGCAGTAACCACAAAGCAGTTTGGAAAGATCTCTCCATTTGCCATTCCCTAGAGGGAAAACATGCACCTGGTCATCAATGCATAACTTCTACATCCCCCACTGCAGATACATGAACATAGACTTTCAGGAATGGGAAGATGGCTCCTCCATGCTGAGAATGTTGCCAGGAAATTGCATTTAAATACTCAGAAATCAAGTTTAAGTGCTGTAGGTACCTCCTACCTGGTATGGGTAATTCCACGGCAATAAGATCAGAATGAAATCATGCAAAAAGGAATGTCAAGTTGGTTTATTGCTACTGCAATTCCATTAAACAACTATTTATTAGAATAGTAAATTAATGAATTAATTTTACTACACTATTATTTCTTCAACAAAAGTTCATAAGGTTCATATCATGATAGAATCAGTACTTTTTCAGCTTTTTTTTTTTAACCAAAACAACAACAACAAAAATACAGCTTTATGCAGTAGTCATGATTGGGTTACCTTTGATTTTAGATATGATTTTGCCACCCATTTTTCTACTGTAAATATCTCTCAGCTTCCTTTTCTCTGCAGTTAAATGGATTAAATGTTGAAGCATCAAAGTTATGAGGCTCCATTAATTACCATTAAAAACTAAAGACAGGATAGAGATCATGCCAAAAATTAAATTACTACCTTCGTAGTTTATCCAGCCAATGTCCTTTGATTTCACCAAGCAGGTGAGTATCAGCTAAAAACATGGCCTTCAGGACTGAAGTTGAGGTCTCTTCATTACCTGTGTGAGCCCCACCTTTCACATCCGGCCATCGACATTGAAAAATTACCATGTAATAAATGAAAAATTCACAAAATACCAGCACAGAGCTGACAAAGCACACGAGTTTCAGCAGGAAATAGATCCTCTTCTTCAAAGGACAGCTCTTCACACTGGTCAAGCTGGGACTCAGCATTGCAGTATCAGCACAGAAGTCTTTCCCAGTGGCTAAGTTCTACTCTCTGAGGTGAGGACAGTAGGATTTGTTCAGAGGGCCGAGAGGTTTCATATCAGCATAAAATCCCTGCGGAGAAAATAGAAAATAAAATACTCAAAATCCCTCTGAAAAGGTGCTGTGGAAGGCCAACAGTGCTCATTTCTCATTTGTGTGAAGTCCTTGGGATAGTAAGTATAAATATACATACACACAATCATACAATTGTTTAGGATAGAAAACACCAGCAAAATTCATCAAGTCCAACCATCAGCCAACACATACACATGGACAAAAACAATTTACTATTCCCAGACAAGTGAAATGTGGGAAAATGAGCCTAAGTTAGTGAACACATTGTGTTTCCTAACTTCTTCCACCCTGGATAGCTTGTAACTCAAACAAGGAATTCACTCCCTTTAAAACTATAATTTTATTTTACACCTTTTGAAGGCTCATCCAAATGACCACCTTCACTCCCATAATCCACAACTGTAGCAGGACTCAAGGATCATTTCACTTGCATACAGGCATTTAAGAGAAATTCAGTGCTTCTGGCTTAAGGAAGAAACACACACACTTTCATAGTTCTACTTCTCAAGACTACAGCAATCTCTCACGTGTCAATATGTAGCAGAAAAGAGCATCACAAGAGAGAGGGCAGTGAGAGCAGCCCTACTAAGGGCAATCAGCCAGGGCCCAACACAACTTCCCAGGTCTTCAGTCTGCATCAGACAGACCACTTTGTAAAAGCCAACAACCAACAGAGTAGCAGGGACTCCAGGTAGCTATCAAGGTGCTACTCACACCCTTAACAACAAACTTGTACAGAAACCCACAGAAAGTCTTGTCGTATTCCCCTATTCCACTTATTACAACAGCAAAATTGCACCCTAGTGGTAAGATGGATGGGACTTTGAGCAACGTGGTACATGGGAGGTGTCCCTCCCTACAGCAGGGGTTTGGAACTAGGTGACCTTAAAGGTGATCTAATTTATAAAGGTTTATAATCCAGTTCTATCTATGTGACAAAGCTACTGGCCAGACATCTCAGTTCCACAAAACAGAGGAGCCACAAATAAAGGCTGGTTAACTTAATACAAATCTTGTCTGCATTTCAACTAGCAACGCAAAAATCAGTGAGATCTTGTTTGTGCATCTCACAGCGAGGCAGGGTTACAGCAAAAATGTCCATCCAACATACACAGCAACAAGCACAAAAGTAGGTAAACTCACCCTGCACAAACTGTACCTACCCTGTAACTTGCTAAGTAGTCTGTAGTAGTCCTAAACAGTCTCCACTCCCAAGAAAAACAGTACCGAATTGAACAGAAAATGCTAGCAAGCTTATACGCTTGCATTAGGCATGTAAAAAATAAGATAAAAATGAAAAATCACACGACTCTCCTTATCCACAGCCCACACAAAGCTTAGCACTAATATAACCTGTCACTTCGCTACCGATACCAACGTGTTCTCTGGATTTTTGTTATGCCATTTTTCACACATCCAAGCTCTTCAGAAGCTGCCCACACACCAGTTCCCAGTGTGTGCACACTCACTCTCCTGCCTTCCTGCTGCTGGCTGTTAGCGTTCTGGGAGCCATTTACCGAGTGGGGAAGATGCCCAAAGGTCTCCCATCTGCATCCTACACTTCCAGTGAAAGATCAGAAGAGAAACCAAAATATCTGAGATAGAACCAGCTGAAAAACAGCTCCTGCAACAGAACACCCATCTGCATTGCCCGTGTCGCTCTCCTACCTCCCCTGCAGCCTGCAAGCCGACAGCTGCTCACATCCCGCCTGCGCCGTGTGCTCACAGCCACGCATCTCTGCACACCAAATGGCAGCGCGTGCACCAGTTGTCCCAGCCTCACATACGGGCACCGACAAGCAGAGGCCACACGGAAGAAAGCTGTTCTCTCTGTCACACATGACGGAAGGGCCAAAAATAGCACTGTGGGACCACAGATGCACTGCAAGATGGAGCTGTGGTGCAACACGGCGCTGTGCAGCGCTGCCGCTCCTCCTTCTCACAAGGCCAGTCGTTTAGGTTGGACCAAAACACACGCTGTCACCAGGGCTCACAGAGCTGTGCCAGCAGAAGAGACTGAGGGATTTCTCACTGTTGCTTCTCTAAATAGATGGAAATACATGGCAGTGACCAATGCAAGAATGATTTTTAAAGTTTCCTGAGGTCGTCACGAAGGCGAGATCAAGATTTTTCAGCTGGTTATCCAGCTTTTATTTACAAGCGAGGTAAGGATGAAGCAAGATACAATGCTGCGCAGACAGACCAGGAAGCAAGGAACTCGGAGCTTTATCCTGTCTCTAACTTAGTGAGCACGTAACCCTAAATACCTCATATTCTTTTAAGCCAAATTATTAATTTACACTATCAAACTATCACAGTGTGATAGTCTCTGTGTTGTTATTACACTGAAGAAGCTGCTTGAGGGTATAAATAAGCATAGTGCTTCTATCCTCATGATGAACTCAAATTTTCACTCACTTTTTCCATTGCATGTCACGAAGTTACAGCATTCAACCTTCAGAGAATATAACTCAAGGTCTATATGTGCTTCAAAGCATAACAGTTACAAACAAGTTGAGGTTCCAACGTCCAAGTTTTCCCTCTTGAAATGCACAACTGAGTTCTCTCTTTGCATTCCAAGCTTTTTCTCAGCCTCTCTCTCCAAAGCAACGCGACACTTCTACCTTGTATGCTCTAACTCTCAGCACTCAATCCCTATCAGTGCTTCAGATACTGGAGTAGTAGCAATCCTCACTCTTCAATCAAATAAGAGCTTCTGATGAGTTAAATATATACAATCATAGAATGGCCTGGGTTGAAAAGGACCTCAAAGATCATCTAGTTTCACAGAATCACAGAATTGTAGGGGTTGGAAGGGACCTCTAGAGATCATCGAGACCAACCCCCCTGCCAAAGCAGGTTGCTTACCTCCTGCAAAGCAGGTTTCAACCCTCCTGCTGTGGGCAGGGTCGCCAACCACTAGACCAGGCTGCCCAGAAATGTAAATACACATATAGAGTCCATCAGGAGAATGCCAGTCTTTACATGGTTTTTATATACATACAAGGTCTTTTGTTGGTTTGGTTTTTTATATGTATGTTTTACTTACAGGAAATGCCATATTGGGAAATTCTTCGAACTGAAACACAAAGATTTGATTTTCCCACAAACACCCACAACCACAGCTGCAATTGGTGCATTTTATGAGTGTGAAAGAGAGCTCGGAGAACTCAGCTGAAGTTATGCAGACCACAGTTTATTTAAAAACCAGACGTACAAAATCAAATGCATAAAATACAAAAACACTTCAGAACAGCTTCCTACACTGAGCTGATATTACTGATTTCCTAACTGTATCAGAATGTGGCACTACATTTCAAATTTGTAGTATAAAAAAAAAAAAAAAAGTAGAAAACCTACTTGCCATTGGATTATCAGCAGTTACAAATGTGCTGTAAAAGGAAGTCCAAAGATTACACTTATTTGTTTCAAGCACTTCTCATACTGATTATTCAGTTTCACAGATTCCTGCACGGCGCGCTTTAGATCTTCTATCTCTTGGAAAAACTCCTAGAAAAACCCAAAAATAATCACCTCAGTTTCTTTGAAGATATTCTCCATAACAGCTGGTCAGGGTTTCTCTTGTTCCCACGTTCAGACACTTTCTGTTGTAATTAGGTTAGGGCCAAGTTCGGCAAACACAGCACACATCCACTATAGTCATGTGTAATAGTTTAAAAGCTTTGCCCTGAGAGGGAACGCAAGCACAATTTAAGTTACTTCAGAGCCTGAAATAGAGACTGATAATGGGAAAGATACAAGAGACACGAATAGAAGGAAGAAAAAAAAAAGTTGGCTTGTCAGAAAGATAGGAAATGGCAATCCAAAATTGACAAGGAAATAATGTCACTGTCACAGACTCTCCCGTGCAAAAATACAGCAACACAGGAACAGAACATGGAAACAACCTAAGTTCAAAGGATATCTGAAATAAAAATACAGAGAAGAGTGAAAAAGAAAGGTTTCCATGAGATCTGAAACCGTCAGCCAGCAGTAGAAAGCATGCCATTGACTTGGAAGAAACTAAAGGAGTAAGACTATAAAAGGGGAAAATAGGCAAGAAGAGATGTAAGGAGAGCCAACTATCAATACTAATGTTAGCATTTGAACACGACAATAACGAAGAGTTTAAGGTGGAAAAACAGATGCAACATTTAGAGATGGAAGGATCTACATTTCTTTGATCCGTGAACTTCGTTATAAATTGCTAGGGTCAGTTTAGAACCTTCAGTACAGCTTCATCATGTTAATGAATGGCTGTTTCAGATCTGTTATTGATGACTGCACTAGGAGTGGACAGATCTATGATGCACTAAGATAGATCACTAAATGGATAACATCATCCAACAGATTCAGCTTGATCAGACAAAAGCAATTTGCAAGAAAGCTGGGAATGAAGAAGAGCAGTATGTGAGGCTGCAAAAAACACAGAAACAGCTCAGTAAGCAAGCCATAAGAACTAGTCCTGGTGAACAGCAGCCCATAGGATTCACTTCCTCACAGCAGTCCTTTTGTTATTACAGTACATAACTTAACAAGTACTTCTATCTGTACTTAACTAGATCAGTTCAGCTTCATAAAAATAAACTTCAGCTATTACAATACTAATAGCTTTCAGCTCAGATGAAACTATTTCTTGTTCAACTTCTACAGCTCAAGTCTATTGAGCAGTTCAGATGCTCTGTAAGCAAAGTCAAAAGGTGTTGGAAAACCCAAGGACTGTAAACAGAATATAAGCAATCAAAACTTCATTTCACCAAACCTGCAAAGTCCTACCTACCAAACTAACACTGTTATCTACTTACATTTGACACCTTCTTCTGCTTCTTGACTTTTTTTTTTTTAAAAAAAAAAAAAAAAAAGGAATAGCTACATACATCCTAAGTAAGCACAGTGACTTAAAACTACCAAAAAAATGAGTCCATAACTTCAGAGCAGTATTTTCTTCTTCTGAAAGAAGAAACTTTCAGTTATGAGCTGTCCCTGACTTCCAAGCAAGGGGAATCTAGAACCTATCCAGGCTCAATGCTCTACTCATTTCATATCTAATGAATTAGCACCAGGTTTTATCGCTACCTCTGTAATGAAAGTGAACAAACATTATTTGTTTTTAGAACAACTAAAGCATGTCTTATGCTGAAAATAAAATCTTAGACCAGTAATATTAAACTGAATCCTCTACAGCTAAGTAGGGTCTCTCCACCTTCCCATATCAATTCAAGAATTATCAACCTTTCACTCTTCTTTGATAACTGCAGAGACAACCTGCCACAAGCCCTTCATGACCCTCCAAAGGTCACAGTTCTGCCACAGACACAGTTTCAGTTACCAGCACTTGTAATTTTTACCTTGTAACAACAGAAGACAAAGAATCACACTTGGTGGAAATTAAACTGTTGAGCCATTAAAAAAAGCATCTACAAGAAAATTCACAATTTTAAAGTAAAAAGAAAAAAAATCATAATTATTCTTCTTGGTCAGCCAAGCAGTATTGCAGGATATGAGTATTTCAAGGAGTCATTCATTTCTTTTTCAGAATGGCATACACTGGTTTTTTTAATGTATTTTGCTTGCTAAAAGCCAAGATAGAAAAGTTTATTTTTCAAAAATAACCTGCTCTTATAAGAACAGGTCCTATAAGAAATTACCTTGTCTAATCCAGCTAATTCCTTCCTTAGTGCTCTCCTTTCCTCAGACAACTTTTCATTTTCTTTCTTCAGCTTTTTAATCTCCTTTAGCAACAGCTCTATATTCAAATAACAAAATACAGACTTTAGCCATCACAGTCAGCCTCCCCCTCACATGAATCAGACCGCAGCTAAAGAGCTGCCTGCATTTTTGCTATTAGAAAATCATGCTTCAGCTTTTCCAAGTTATCTTTTTCTTACAGTGACTTATTCTCAAGAATTAGCCCAGTTCACCCCCAGCTGCTAGAAAAGGCATCAGAATCTGCAAATTGGGCATTTTTGAACCGATTCCTAGAATGTGGGGATTTTTCCTTTCAAAAGAAGTTGCAAAACAGCTGCATCACAGCTTGATTACCATTTTCTGACTTCAGAAAGGGTCACATCAGCAGCTGTTGATCACTTCCTCAGAAATTATATGTACATGACCTCTTCAACTTATTTTTTTTTTAATAATGCTTTGAAGAGGAACAGAACTGTACCTCATAGCTTTAGATTCATGAGGAAGACATGCACAAACCAACACTGGATGGATTTATTGCATGTGTTATGGCTAAAAACAGTTTCTCTTGTGAATTGCTGCCTAAAAGCCAAAGGATGTAGCTACTAAGTTTTGTACAAACGAAGTTTACTGGAATAAATAATGAATACTAGTGAATGCACCACACATTCATGCCCATGATTATAGTGCAGAACTGGATTGACAGATACAATATTAAAATGGCAGCATTTTAGATGCTGCAGTGTAAGAAATAATTGGAGAGTGCCTACAGATCAGAAACTAAACTCATCCCCTCTGGTGATCATAGTAAAAGGAGCATCATTGAAATGAACTATACCATTACCTATGTATTTACTGCAGCACGACTCCTCCTTTCCAGATGTGTCTCTGTGAGACACTATTTCTCCCCCTAGGGTTCGACTTCTTTTCCCAGAAACAGCGTGAGTTTTCCACAAAACTTTATTACGTTCCAATTGCTCAATCCTTTGCTTCTGCTCTTGAAGACTGTGCTCTAGCTCACAAATTTTCATCTGTCAAGAGACCAAAATTTATTTTAAAATGCATAGCAGAAAAATAGTTCAACTGAGTATGAATGGAAATTTATCCTGAACGCAAACCTAGAGCCTTCAACCACTCAATTAAAGGTATGTTCATCTAGAAGTGTCTGAAAGGAGAGGAAAAATGCAGCAACTGAAGATCTGCACACCTCAGAAATGTTTTTAAGAGATATGTAACTGAGCACACAGCCAACAAAGCGAAACTGTTCATGCACAAAGATGCACAGACATACCAAACCTTTCCCCACAATACACTCATGGCAGCAGTTCCCAGCTTTTACGAAAGGCAGACATAATCCAGTCATAACAAACATTCAAAATGCAAAGGAAGCACACGTTCACAAACTCCTAGGTAAAATTTCATTATACTGGCCAGCCACAATGCTACTAAATGGCTGAAGAGGCAAAACCCACTTGAAGCAGCTTCTTAGGCCACTCCTGAGCACACAACCAAACCTTTGCTTCAGTTAATGCTATTCTCATGTACAGCAAGCCAGAAGATCTTGCTGTCTGAAAAATACTCGCTCTTTTTGGTTAGCTTGCTGCTGGGCTCCTGAAATAAATCGGCTCACAACACATACAGAAAAATATCACAGCAGAGAGAAAAGAGGGAAGAATGCATATACAGTTGGTAGGAGAGGCAGATAGATGAGAAAAGAAACAAGCAACAAAAGAGGAGAACAAGTTACAGACATAGCAGGGACATGGTTCACCTCCAAACTGAACACAGACTACTTCCCATTATCCCAATGGCACGGGAAATGGAAGAAACAATGAGTACAAAAACAAACAAAAAAAAACTTTGCAAAACCCATGCTGCAAACCTAAGAATGATTTTTCAGTCTACCAAAGAGCTTATGTTTGGCTATTTGATACCATCTCCTACAAGCTCTACTTACAGTGAGGTTTCTAATTGTTTCACTTTGTTCCTGGTTTGTTTTCATTTCCTTAACGTAACATTTTTGTAGATTACTATACAGCTGTAGTAGTCTAAAACAGAAGAAATGTATAAATTGCAATAAAATACGAACGCCAACAAAACAAGCTTTATCATAAAGGTACCATACATGTCCCAAATGAATCCTTTGGGTAGTATTTTTACTGTAGACTTGTAATGGAAATATTAAGATTGTTACAAATGAAGTTTGATCAGCAACACAGAAAGCACTGCAGAAATTGCAAAGTGAGAGAGAAAAGAACTGTCTGCATCAATGCAAAGAACCACTATCACACAGGCCAAGGACTCAGTGCTTCTCACCAGCCCAGATGGCCACACTCAGTACAAACAACCCGCTGAGGGAAAGACCCAGAACAGGAGGGCAGCAGCAAGTTTGCAATTTATCACATCTGTCATTTGTTGCCCTGTCTCAGTTTCACCCAGGACGGAATTGTTTTCTTCAGAATGTCTGGTATGATGCTATGTTTTAATTCTAGGAGAAAAAAATGCTGATAACAAACTGATGTTTATAGTTGCTGCCAATTAGTGTTGTACAGAGCCAAGGCCTTTGGCAACAAAGGGCCCAAGGAGCTGGGAAGGAACAGAATTAGGACAGCTGACTTAAACTGGCCAAAGGGATATTCCATGCCATACGACATGAAGTGGAATGAGTTATGAAGGGGCTGGGTGCTCTTTTGGCTCTCTTCCACTGCCAGGGGGCTAGCTGAGCATTGGTCAGGGAGGTGGTGAGCAATCGCTTGTGCATCTTGTTATATACATTTACACACACACACATATAGTCATAACTATTTTCCTTTTCTCTATCTTATCTATCTTAGTAAATAGTTTTTATCTCAACTCACAAGTCCTGGTTTTTTTTGTTTGTTTGGGTTTTTTTGTTTTGTTTTTTTTTTCTCCCTCTCCTCCCTGATTCTCTCCCCTGTCCCACTAGGAAGGAGGGGGAACAAGCGAACAACTGTGTGGTGCTGAGCCACCTGTTGGCTTAAATCAAAAATAGCATAATAGGAATGACAATGAGACAACTACTAAAGGATATGAACGAGTTTGGCTCTTGACACCCATCAAGAACCCAAGAGACACAATGAGAACTCGAAATGCAGCATCCCCACCTCTCCATGTTGCTCCCAAGCAATCCTGGCCACAACACTTAAACACACACACCTCACTGCTTGTAAGTATGACTGAGTGAAATCTATGGCACAGTGAGTGCAAGTGAGCAAAAACCTATCTAAAATCCATGTTAAATTAACAGACTTGAACAGTTAACATTACATTTCTCTTTGATATTGCCTTGCATCGAGATCTGCTGCACTAATTTCCCATGGTATTCCATAGCATTCAGTGTACAAATACCAGATTCATGAAACAACTGATGAACATCAACAAATATTTTTCCCTATTTTATTAAGAATTAGGATAAGAGCTGACATTCATACTATGTTATGACAGCATCACAAACAGGATAAGTGATACTAGCACAGAAAAGCTCTGTAAATAACAAACAAACTGATGATACAAGTGAAGTTAGTTGCAGATGCACAACTTAACACAATACAGGGCCAGCATTTGTGTCTAAGAATAATTCAAGTATCTTGAACCAAAATCACACAGTCCGAGCCCAGAGCTAGACACCCAGCCACCCTACATAGTTGACAAGAGGCTGGTATGCTGTAAGGTAATTATACTAAAGACAATTAAAAAAAAAAAAAAATACAGGCCACCTAAACACTAGAAACAGTGCGTGTGAATCCCCAGCAGCAGGGGCTTCTACTATCTACATAAGATGCACAGACCAGAATCTATTCCTGTAAATGGACAAAAGCTTTTGAAAGAATGGAGCAGCCTACTTCAAAACCAAGTTAGATAGGGCTTGACCAACATTTTATATAACAATGCCTAATTGCTGAAATTTTTCACTATGCATTTTCTTAAAACGCAATTATACCTTTTGCATCCAAAAAAAAACCAAAAAAAAAAAAAAAAGCAGTTACAAAAATTTATTTTTAACATTAACTGGCAAACTCCAGTTAATAGCAGCTCACTTCTCAAGTGAATTAAGATTGGAATATAGAACCACTCATCATGTGACTCATACTGAAAAAACTATTAGCCTATACGTTTTATATACATAAAAAAATGAGCCATTTACAATTTCCTCTTAAAAAAGGAAATTGTATAATTGCAGGTTATTAAAAATCTACCTAAGAAGTCACTTGTGCAGTATATGTGTGTATAAATAAAACACGCACATGCACATGTGCATGACTGAGCGTTTTAATTTGATTTTTCTCAATGAAAGATTTGTCATGGAAACATTTGACTCAGCCACGCAGAATACATTCTACTGTAGAGAGAAGCATATGTTTAATTTGCTGAAGAATCAGTTTCCAAGAACTCACCTGGCACTTTCACCCTCTAGATTAAGATTCTTGCTGTATCCACCCTTACGCCATACGTGCGTGTCTGTTTGAATCTGAACGCTTCATCAAAAGAAACACAACAGCTTAATAATATTAGATTTTACAATTTTAATTGGCTCATACAAAACAACAGAAAAATAAAAGTTTAAGCTCCTTTTCAGTTTGATTTTACAATGAAAGTTTTCAGGCAGGATCATGAAAACACCAAACTTGAACTTGAAAACTGTGCAAAAACGCTAAAGTAAATGCTGGCAGGACGCTTCTTGAAGCTTTACAACTACAGTTTCTCAGGTTCTCAGGGAGGTGGTGAGCAATCGCTTGAGCATCTTTTAAATGATGCAACTGAAGTCTCTCACCTCCGTCTGGAGGCAAAACCCTCTTGAGCTCTTATGGTTTGGCACAGCTGGCACGGGGCTGTTACCCAGTGATATCAGAAGTGTTTACTTTGGTATAACAGTGACAACTTCATCCAAATCACCCCAGCCATTCTTTCTCTGCCCCCAGCATCCTCCCATCCTCACCATAGGAAGGATAGATAAGACTTGGTGTGCCTGGGGGATAACGATGGACAAGTCCTGAAATGCTACGCTCTTTCAGACACACACACACACACACAGAAAAAGAGAGATCAGTTTGAGAATGAATTCTTACTCCCTGCTGGTGACATCACCACGTGCTAACTGCCGCTGCCGCCCTTCTCCCTGAATCTGAGCCAAGTCCTTTTCCAGCTCCTTATTCTTTGTTTGTAGCTTTTTCAGCTTCCTGAGTAATTGCTCGTTTTCGGCACCGAGCTGAAAAGCGAAAGAACCAAAAAGGAGGGACGGCGCTACACTTTCAGATAACGTATTAACGGACAGGATGACGTTTCAGGCTATAATTCCCTCCTGCAGGTTTTACCGCGTCCATCGTGAACCCCTCGCGGGCACAGCCACGCCAATCACCTCACCCACCGCCCGAACGCAACAGCGGCGGCCAGGCGCACAGGCTATGGAGTCCAACCGACGCTATCACCTCACGCTCGGTCAGCGCAAGGCCTCGAAGCGAAGAGCCCGGGCCCGACTCACTTGCAAGCAGCGGTGCACGGAGGACAGCGCCATGGCGGCCCCGGGGCTGAGCCCAGCCCGCCGCCGGCCGCCCCCGCCCTACACACGCTAGGCGCAGGCGCGACGGCTCCCGCCCCGCCGCCGAGGAAGCCCGCCCTTGCCGAAGCAGCTCCCTGCAGGGGGCGCACAGGAATGAGCCCAGTTAGGTTTGAGACGTCTCCGTCTCAAGGAAGAGAGAAGGAGAAGGAGACTCCACAGCCTTTCTGGGCAGCCTGTTCTCAGCGCTCTGTCACCCTCACTGCAAAGTTCTTCCCTGGGAACCTCCTGTGTTGCAGTTGCTGCTAGTCATCGAAGAGTCCACTCCCACTGACTTAATTCCCATACTCTAGATATTTTAACAGTGATGAGATTCCTCCTCAGCCTTCTCTTCTCCAGACTGAGCACCCCAGGTCCCTAAGTGGGCCCTCCTACAGGAGATGCTCCAGGCCTCCACCATCTTTGTCACCACCCACTGGACTCCTTCCAGGAGATCCCTGTCCTTTTTCAACCAGGGAGCCCAGAATTGGACACAGGGCTCCAGATGTGTCCTCACCAGGCCAGAACAGAGGAGGATCGCTTCCCTCAACCTGCTGGCCAGGCTCTTGTTAATGCACCCCAGGATCCCCATGGCTTTGACCACAAGGGCACAGTGCTGGCTCATGGCCAACCTGCTGCCCACCAGGACCCCCAGTTCCTTTTCCACTGAACTCCTCTTTGTAGAGAGGCATTCAGCAGCTCCCATCCCCTCCACTGCCCTGGATCAGCCCATCCCGGGCTTGGCCAACTCCTCACACTTAGCCTTGGGTTCAGACACAAAGTAAAAGCCACAGCACATGAGATCCACACACAAGCTACTAGGCAGGAAGCAATCCCCAGAATGCATGGGATGGAATGGTGTACTCATTCTCAGCTGCCAGGCCAGTCTGTGAGGATTTCTTCACAGGTTCCACAACTCCAGGAGCAGCTGAACTACTCCACTAATTCTTCAGGCCCTTGGCAAATCATCTTGTCCCAGAGGCGCACAGCAACAAAACCAATACTCTAATCAGCACTGAGATTTAGTACTATGTAAACTATAAAGTAAGCGGCTACAATAGCTGCTGGCAAAAAGAGAAAGTGTATAATAGATCACAAGCCGGAAAGATAACAGTGATATATTCAGATGGAATAGTAACACAGTTACAATAACACATTATGTTACAATAGTAACATTGAATCAAACAACAAGAAAAAAATACTTGTATTTTCAAACTCTTGGAAAAGCCATTTGAAGGTTTTATCGTGCACATGACAATCATTTTCAAAAGTGGTACTTGATCTTGGGTGGCTCCACTTCAGAATAAGCATCCATGCTTCCAAATTAAGGATGTTCAATAAATTTGCTAAAATAACCCAAAGCTGTGTAGCACAAGATATCAGATATTGGAGCATCAAAAAAATCAAAATATGTAAGCATGCATGGATATACAAACAAGAAATATATTTTCTGTGCTTAATTAAGAAACACATTCATTTTCCAGAAAGATTAACAACGTGACTTTTAACAAACTTGTCTGTGTCAGCGACAATATAAAGTGCCATTAAAAACACTTACTTGTCACTGCAATTACAGCAGGAGCATTTCCCTATGTAACTATTCAAGCAGTTTGTTGAACACTTTTTTTTTTCCTTGCATTTTTGTTTCTAACAGCTTTGTATGCAGAGACACATTTCATGCTGGCACACACAAATGAAAATGTCATTGATTCTACTGGTGTGTTGAGCCTGCTACTTATTGCCAAGCAGCAGGAATGTGACCCATAGCACTTTTTTCAGCTACATGTGCACCAAAATCATTGATTGAATTTGTCAGAAAATCTCTGAGCGCGGGATTACTTGATGCAACCCCATAATAACTCCAGGCACAGCTTTTTTTTCCAGACAGATTAGAGGGCAGCATATGTCATTCTGACTCTCAGCAAGACCTACTATTCTCAGGAGATTTTCCAGGAATTAAACTCTCCTGTGAAAATCTAGATGCCTTTGTGAAAGCACATAAAAATTTCATCTGCCTCAAATGAATCCCTCTTTCATCTACCAGCTGTAACAAAGATGGCTCCTGAGTCCCTTTCCGTGTGGGAGACTGAAACATTCACACATTCTTTCTAGACATTACATTCTCTGGCGCAACCAGCCCTGTCAATCTCACGGATAAATGCCTGCTGAAAAATCCTGGAACAATCTTGAACCAAATGGCCAACACGGGGGAGTTTCAGTTTGAGCTTTGATCTGAAAGCAGAAATCCAGTTTGCATTCAGGATCCTTCCTTTAAACAGGAAGCAACCTGGCTATGCTGAGCCCTAGCATAACTGTGGAAGAGAGTTATAAACTATAAAGTTCAGAATTCAGATCCAAAGTCAAATCATACGATTTTCTGTATATCAAACACAAGGACCTGATTGGATTGGATTTGAATTGGAGCCAGTTTGAAAATTCTAGAAAACACTGAAGGACACCATTTTGCTATAATCTATCAGATTTTGAAGCCAAAAATCTTAAGTTTCACATTATCAAACTCCCAGAACAGATCTGAAGGTCAAATTCGGCTTGAGACTAACTTTTTGATAATTTGTGGCAGGAAGGAGAATGTGGAGGGCACTCTGTGAGTAGTGACCTCAGGGCCTCCTAGACACAGAGGAGAAATGCGGTCAGGGTATGACTGAGCAACAGAAAGGAAACACAGGCAACAATTAACACACCACTGAGAGCAGCAGACAGGAGTCACTAATGAGCATTCTGTGAAATACTGCCATTGTTGGAAACTTCTTTTTGTTTCTGATGGAGCAGAACAAGCACAAGTGTGGTTCTTCATGGGAATCCAGCAAGAAAGTCTTTTTATAATGTACCTTCTCTTCTTGAACACCGAAAAAAAAAAAAAAAAAAAAAAAAAAAAAAGTTGGACCAAGCATCCTCTTCACCAGCCATAAAATCTACTCAGCAACATGACAAACTAAAACTACAGCCACACTGCAGTACTCTGAACAATAAAAAGCTTGTCATCAGGGTTACCTCTTACAGAGGACTGTCAGCCTCAAACTTCATTCTTGGTGGAGTACTGGGAAAAGTTCCACAGAAAGGAGCTAGAAACAGTAAACATCAATTTTATGTGACTAATCCAATATAATCCTATGCTGTATAAAAAGACCACCTGTATGGAATCATGCTGAAGTGCTTCCGTAACAGTGCAGCAAGCCACTGGCTGTCATGCCAAGGAAATGCTCTCTCACAGCCATCAGGCTAATAATTCCAACAGATTACTTCCTCACCCCCTCTCCGTTTTTATTAAAACTGTTAGTCACTTGCTCTCTCATTTAATTTCCTATTAAGAGATCATCCATCAAACCTGCAAAGTATCTGAAGACATCTGCAGCCTCCATGGTGCTGGCTGGCCAGCTGCAAGAGGTCACTCATTCTCTTCAAAAACTACAACAAATTGTATTGCATCAGTGCAGCATGTAATTACTGTCAAAGAAGAGGATGGTTGAGGAGTAAGTAAACCAATTTCTGTCGCAGCAGCTTCCCTTCTCAATGACCCTACTTTCAGTACTGCAGACAGAGCTGGCTGCAAACAGGATCTGCGTGGTACAGACAGCAGAGAAATGCTGCGCAACACATTAGAAAAGGAAATGAAGGAGGACATCACCTCCAGCTAGCTAACACTTAACTCACAAAGGCTTCACAGCTTATGAGAAAAGGAAATCAAAGACTGCATGCACTCCATGCTCTGTTTTGCAATGTATTTTCCCCTCCTCTGAACACTCTTGGTCTCAGGAAAGGAAGTCTGAACTGCGAAAGACCGAGGTCAGGCTCAGAAGAACTCAGACCCAAGAAACACCGGTATTTCAAGTTCACCTGGGATGAGTCTACTGCAAGTCAATGGGATGAAAAGCATGGCATGTGTGTAGATTACAAAACGTGTGTGCAAGGAACTGGCTAGCACTGAGGGTTATGAAAGATCAGAGGTTACGAAAGACCTTGGCAGCCATGAAAGGTGAGCCCAGAGCCTGAGCCAGCAGGCAGAGAACAACTGCAGCGTGCCCCAAACCACGTGGTTGTGTGAGAGCAACTGGCAGCTCACAGCAGCAAGCTCCTACTGCTTGCAGGCCTGGGCTAAGGGAAGCCTGAAAAAACTTCAGAACAGAAGTAATAAAACAGCCATCAGTGAATAGGAGCCTTCTTTATAGAGCTTACAGGCAACTGTAGTGTTTTGCAATGTATTTTGAAAGGTCTTAAAATACTAGCTCCAGTCAATGATTTCCTAAGTACTCTTCTTGGCTCTTCGTTTCTGTTTTCCAATGTTTCACTATTGAGATGAATTTGCAAATTCTGAGGGTTCGTTCAGTTGTTATTTCAGCCTTCAGAACTCAGCCTTCTGTGATTCTTTTACTAATATCCTTCCACTAGTGGAAAAGGAAGTTGTGGAAATCCTACTGAGCTAGACGGAGTCACTCATTTTCCAAACACCACTCAAATCTCACGTAAGAGAGGACACTCCAGCTTGCAAAGTACTGGGGGGAGCACCTTCCCATTGTTGCAACAGCATTTCACTGCACCAGGGATTTCCTACCATCACCTCCAGTGAGGTTTTTTTCTGCATCCCACCTACTATACTATCACACTGCACTGTTTGTAAAATGCAAGCTCCAGAGATGCTTCAGACATGAGCCTAACCACAGCAAGCCTCTGAATGCTGTAGCAGCTCTGAGACATGAGGAGAAGCTACTAAAGTTCAGGCTGGTGTTATGACATCTCACTGGTATGTTCACTTACTGCCCCAGGACAGCTCTCCCAGCAAGGTCCTGACATTACCTCAAGCCATGCCAATTAAATTTTGCCTGGTCCTTACAAAATTGTCAATATTACATCAGGGATAATAAGTTTTGTTGTTACGTACTTCTCTTAATGCAAATACAGGTACCACTAAAGCATTTTTATTTTAGCCAGACTAATATAGATTCCAAAAGGTCATTGAAAACGAAACCTTCGATCACAGAGCAGTTGTTGAATGACAAAAACAAATTTCATACACTCAATGTATTTAA